AAGCTCATTAAGGATGACTTCCTGCAGCAGAACGGTTATACTCCCTATGACAGGTGATGACAAAACAACTCACCAACCACAAAACACACATTCTTTCCATTCAGGCCTGAAACGACTCTCCCACCTTTCAATGGACATAATTGAATCTTTTAAACCTTAAAGAAGCCTCTGTCTTTGCATCACAACAGCTGAAAACATAACATCATAAAATGTACATGTTTAAAGCTGTAGTTTGTAACTTAAAAAAGATAAGTTTTCATTGTACTTGCTGAAACTGTCATTATATACACCCAGTAGTAAACAAGACAGATAATAGGGGAGGAAAATTGTGTTCCTCCTCCTCCTCCTCCTCCTAGTGCTTCTAATAGTGTTTGCAAGAATCCACCGCACTTGAATGAAACAAAAGTTGGTCCGGCAGATGGACAGTGCTTTGATTTAGCTTGACTGTTTTCAACATGGCGGCCAGGTCACAAACAATCTGATTTTACAGCTAAACAGTACACTGAAATGTTTATGGAAACATTTGAAGCAAGAAATAGGCAATGCAGGAACAGAACATTGATTGATATTTGATCAGCTCTGCATAGTTTGACAGTTTGATCTGAGTTCAAGAGCAATGATTGGCATAGTTGTTTTATTTAAGTGCGGTAGATTCTTGCAAATGCCATTAGAAGCACCAGGAGGATGCAGAGGAACTGCAGGGCTATCTGTCTGATGTACTTCTGTCTGGATATAGTGACAGTTTTAGTAAATAAAACTAATTTATTTTTATAGAAGTTACCAACTGTAGCTTTAGGTCCCTTTCAGGTGGAAATTTCTGACAAAAGCGGGAAATTTGCAACAGTTCTAGAAAATATAGAGCTGAGCCATGAGCTTGAGCAACTACACAGCTTAGTAATTGATGTATTTAAGGTTTTCAAGTGATTTCTGTGGAAACAATGGAAAAGCTTATCAGTGGATATGAAGGAGAGATTTCTCTCATTTATTTTCCTCAACTTGACTGTTACCTAAACTCTGAGCTTCACACATCCTTCTGTCTCCACACTCAGGTTCTGCCCTTTCTACAAAACTGTTGGCATCCTCTCAAACATGATATCTTTTTACGACATGGCCCGACACGCCGTGGAGTCCACCGCACAGAGTGACAACAAAATCACCTGGGCCATTATCAGGGAGCACATGGGAGAGACCCTGTATAAAATCAGCTCCATGAAGTTTAAGGTATGTTGTTTGTCATTTTGTGGCGGAGATAATCCTGTTCATCATGTTTGTGTCAGTCAAGACAAATGACTTATTCTCTTTCAATGACTGCTTCAGGACCCTGTTAAGGATGGCGAAGCTAAGATCAAAGCAGACTTCGCCCAGCTGCTGGAGGACATGCAGAACGCCTTCCGGACCCTGGAGGAATGAGTTTCCTACTCTCAGGCTCTCTTTCAAATATCCAAACCCCAGTGCAGTGCAACATAGTGCAGATTGTATGGCCCGTGTTCTGGATGTCTGCCTCAGTCATGTGAACTCTCTTATTCCTCAGTGTTTACGTCCCCCTTAAACATTCCTCAGCAATGTTCCATTTCTTTTAGTTGGTTTTGACTCATCTACTTTAAAAAACACTACTGGAAAAACACCTGAAACATACAGTGGATGTAGCAACACCTTCATTTGGCCTACCCTTCAGCATAGCACTTATAAATCACCGCTCCATCATGTTGTGGTTTAAATCAGTGGGCCCCAATCAGGTGCTGTACTTGCACTCAACCAATAGCTGCAACAAAGAGAGGACAGGGATGTTACTTTCCCCCGGATGTGACAGTGATCGAAACAGATTATCAATCAAATGGGAACATGCACACGGTTAAAGGGACAGAAGCACTGCGTTACTGCATATCAGGGGGTCAAAGACATTCTTCCACCTCTTACCTCTAATGTTTGATGATGATGTTGTGGACAATATACTTGATATTATGTGCAAAAATGTGAATGAATGAGTCTGTTAGAATTGTGTTGTAACAGATGTCTCACTATTATATTTGTGGTTGTTTCTGTCTCCTGAAATAAATGTTAAGACATGATAAAGGTTTTTGTTTTTTTAATGCCTCTGTGGGCGATAGCTGTGGCTGGGGGGGATGTGTTTTTGGGTTGCCCATCTGTCTTCGTGTCTGCACGTCTGTCTGTCCGACCATCCATCTCATTCTCGCAAACGTGATACCTCAAGAAGGCCTTGAGGCAATTTCCTCAAATTTGGCCCAAACGTCCACTCGGAATCAATTATGAACTGATTAGAATTTGGTGGTCAAAGGTCACTCATTTTCTTGGCCATAACTAAAGAATTTAAATGCTAATTCTAACCAAATTTAACACAAACCGATAGCATTTTATATCCCAAAGGTCATCTTCAATGTGACATCATAATGTTCTGCAAAAACACTTTTCTGGCCATAATTCAACACCATAACTCAGGAGCAAAAGGGGAGACATTTAGTCAGATACTGAGCTGGTGACACTAAACCTGTGTGTCCATTTTGAAGCTGTGCTGATAGTATAGATCATCTGTGCTGCTGGGTTAAACGTATGTGAAGCATTTGTGTCTCAGAATTTCTAGCATCTCTGCCGTAACATCCATATTTGAAGCATTTTCAACAGTCATGGCTACAGAGTCTGCACAGACATGGATGTTAACTGTAACTATGCAACATGAGTTATCTGAGATATTCCTGCGGCCAACCAGCACCTGATCCTTGAGACTGGCTATTCAGAGGGAGTTCTGTTTACTTTTATTATATATACATTTCTGTTGCTCTTTTTGAAATAGCTGAACAAGAGTGTGAAAATGGACCTCTGACTGCTGCAACTCATTAACACACAATCACTGAAAGACTTTCACCTCTAGGTGGCACACACACATTTGAATGCTGCAGGGCGACTGTCATGAAAAGGCTCCTTCTGATTGAATAACCTCTTGAAACCTTATTTTCCTCATAAATGTATTTTTAGCAGCTTTGACACAGCTACGCTGCACCGTACGACACTATAATATATTATGCATCTGTCTACTTGTTTCTACACTTCATTAAAGCATCATGATGCTTCAGACTGAGTGGAATACTTCAGTCCACAACACCCAATTTTTTGTATACCTGCACTGTCACATCAGCTGAAAATATTCTAAACATTTTATACTTAATTCCCTAAAATTCAGCTGGATATATTTGGGATTTTTTTAAATACCTAAACTACCAGCCTGAGGAGCAGATCCAACCCTCATGAAAATGTCATAAGGCTCGCCACATGTTTAGAATTTATTTATGGCTGAATCAGACCCACAAATAATTGGTATTTTTGAGCAATCATTACATTTTCTGGCAAAGCTGCAAAATCTGAGCATAAAAAATTGATTTTTTTTAACTAAATGTTCAATAATCAAAGTTAAAGGTTTGGAAATAACATATTTATTTATTTTTTATTAAGACATTAACACAGAAGCTCAGCTAATATGCTTTATCAGGACTGTGTGGACATGGTTTGATCAGATTTGACTGAGCAAACAACCCCTCAACCGTCATCAGATTTTTATTCAAATATTGCAACATTTGATTGGTGCACAGAAGTACATGACGTCACCTCTTTTCAACGAATCCTTCCCACTTGAAATCAGTGAGACGCACACAGACACAACAAAAATATATGAAAGTCTATCATGAAATAACCCATAATGTCTAAACTTTGCTAGAAAGTTGGGTGTTAATATGAGACCAAATTGTTCATAGTTATACACTAATTGAGAAATAAAGATTTTAAGGGCCTTTAAACTAGGACTCAAGCACTCTCCTAAAACGTGGAGGCATATGACACACACAGGAAAGAGCAGAGGGACTCGGACATGACAGCAACACCACGTTCTCTTGCCATGCTGTTTGTTACAAGCAGAGCATCAGTCGTAGTTTGCTGAGACGTCATCTTCAGCAAGTACTCTTGGTTCAGCCTGGCTCACAGCATTAATTCCTCCAAAATAGATTAGAGCCGCTATCTCAGGTTCCGGGCTCCATCAAGACTAATGGAAGCAAAACCCGCAGGAGCAACAGCAGCATCTTTTTCTCTGCATTGATTCAGTCCATCCAGACTCACACTGGTGCGGACATTAAGAGGTTTCAGAGATCACAGGATATACAGTACCAGCCCATAGCTTACAATGCACCTGCTTCTCTGTCTCTTATTCTTCAGTTGGTAATGACTCACAGACGGGCAGAGTGTGTGTGTAAAGAACGCAATAACAGAACTGAAAGTGGAGAGAATAATTACATACTCTTTTTTTGTAATTATTGACTGTCACGTCTCTAATATTAGCAAACTCTTGCAACTGCTGCACGTCTCTGACGGCTTAAACTTCATGGTATTTGCAAGCTGCTCATCCTCCAGATGCAGGTGTGCTTTCCCAGTTCTCTGAGCTCTCACTTCTGATGGATTATTTTTTAAAAAGCTGCTATTTCCCATTTTGCTTCCCCTTATCTTCAGCTAAATGTTGCAACCAATTAATGTGGTAATTTTGTTTTTGAAAACATGGAAATAGTGATCGTTTAAAGCTTGTGTTGGCAAACAAGCTCTCTGCTAAAGTGTTCATGAGCAAGAATTTGAACCCAAGTTCCCAGCACCTGCAGGGGAGCCGATTTATATGTGACCCCATGCTCTAACTCTCTGCAGGGGGGCAGGAGAAAAGAAAACTTCCCTGCAGAGATCACCTATTATATTACCACTGTTACTATTCACTTGTCACAAATGTCACACAAAGAGTGTAATGTATAGAGACAGAGGAGCCCCCTGGTTTCCCCTCCCATCACACACACACTCTTCCAGAGTTTTCTGTGTGCGAGCAGCAAGGTCAGGTTGCTTATGGGAGGAAATGTGATCCCCGAGGGTGGGGCTGCCCTGTGGATCATCGCTCACTCTCTCATCTATGAGTGCCTGTCATGTTTCTCATATCGTCCAGTTCAGTGTGGATTGTCAGGGCTGCCGTTACAGCTTTTGAACACCTCAACATAGCAGGTCAGCTGTGGAGAGGGGCATTAAAAGACTGGCACTCTGCCTGCCACAACCAGTTGAGGTAGCACCTATATTTACCAAGCATGCCAGTGTTCAAAGTTACACTGATGGAAGTTGTAAAGCAGAAGAAGTAGGCTATGCAAGGGAACAACTTAACTACTACGACTGAACTACTTAATGAAATGCGAGGAGGATAGTCTGGGGAGAAGTGAGCTGGCAGATGCAACACAATATCAAGCCACTTGTCTGGAGGAATTCAAGTTGCCTTCTGTTGGGACACTTCCACCGTGGGAATCCAAGAAATGAAAACCATCTCAGTGCACTGATACGGTGTTGCCGCAGCAACGCCACAGTGGAGACATGCCAATTTTCTTTTTTCAACACAAATGACTGACGAGAAAGTAGGCTGCTGTTTTCATTTTTTCTCCCTCAGTACATCACAGGAGCTTGGTGACAAGGGGTCATCTCTGTGAATCATCTTCCTCTTCATCGTCTGCTGAGGACTGCTTAACTTTCACCTGGAGAGATTTCAGCCCACGTGTGTTGATGGTTTTGGATTTTTGTTGCGGAGTCAAAAGGTGAGTTCAAAGAGAGTTTATTTTGGCTTTGTGAATTTTTAACTATTAACACGGCTAGAAAATGTGAATAAAGAGTTAAATAAGTAATTGATGGTGAACCATAGTGATTATTACTGCTTAATGCAGTCTGATATGAAGCCTTACAAAAACTGCTGAAATAAGGAACTACGATAAGGCAATCAAAATATATATTGTCTTCCTGTTTTTAATATTTATTCTTTTGATTTCTGTATAGATTTGAATCAAGCTCCATATGACATCATAAAATAATAACTCACACTGACAATAACTCAAGTACATGTCTGAGTGTTGAGGACTTGAGTTTGCTGGCCCAGATAGTTTGTCCCTGTGGACACAGTGGCCTTGTTTCAACAAATTACATTAGAAGCTCCTGGGGACTGAGAATCTTCTGATTTAGGAAATTATTAACTTTTATAATAAACATGAGATCTTGTAGTGAGTTGCAGGTAAAGGTTGAGTCCAGTGTAAGTTGTTGTACCATGTATAGGTAATACTGTATGTGAGTTAGGGTGAGATCTTGTGTGTGTGTTTATGTGTGTGTGTGTGTGTGTGTGTGTGTGTGTGTGTGTATACGTGAGTGCATGTTTAGATACTAATGGCAAATTATTACACACCCATTAAAGACGACAGTGAAAGTGATGGCCCTTTCTGTTGAAATGACAGCTCGTAAACTTCAACGTCATCTTTAGGAAGCCATTATGAAATGGGAGAAGTTGAAACCTCCAGAACCAGATGACCCTATGTGCTGCTGTGAGTGTGATATTGACCAGTACGGATGTTGCTGTGACTGTGAAGATTTGGACGAAACCTTCAGCAGGTATGAAGGGCTTTGAGGAAAAGGGTCGGTACTAAGTAGGCTACCACTAGAATGGAATAAAGTGCTGTAATAGAAAGTAAAAGAAGCGCAGAAGACTAAATGTTAGTCACAAGAAGTAGCACTTTTGTATATAAAAAAGTTCAATATCTCTTTTTAGATTCTGCTGTAAAGTGTCTCTTCGTGGGCTACTATAAGATAACTAAGACAGATTGATACCACTACTATATATGTCAGTGAAATATAAAGCTAAAGCCAGCAGCTGGTTAGCTAGCTTAGCATAATGACTGGAGAGTGCTCCTTAACACCACAGTAAAATAGCAAATTGTCATTTTTTACCTTTTTGTTTGTTACAAGGATCAGCCACATGAGGTATATGTTTATTAGCGAGCTTCAGAGGTGCTGGTAGGCAGATATTGTCATCTTCGGACATAGCCAGGCTAGCTTTTTTCTCGTCTTTCCAGTCGTAGTGCTAAGCTAACTGTTTCTTGGCTGTAGGAACTATATTTAACTGACAAATGGCAGTGGTATCAATCTTCTCACTTTTAGAAACAAAGCAAAAATGCAAATTTCCTAATAATTCCCAATTAGAGTATAAAAGAAGGAATGGTCGAATGGACGATATTGACAGTGTTCGAGGAGCCAGACTGAAATATTGGTTGGAGTCAATGGGGCGGGCACAACAAATTACATTTAAAACCCAAATCTTTGTTGTTTCAACTTAAATTGAAAAATCCTCACACCAGGTTAAAAAAACACACATTAAGCAATGCTGGCAGATGTTTTTCTTTTTTATCTAATTCTATGTGCTTGTTTTTCCTTGTTACTGGTCTCCAGACAACTGCAGTGCCAGCCCTAGTTGGTGTGCCTACCTGCCCTGCTTTAATATGAAATCGTATATATCCATATATGTGCAGGCTCTCTGTCTCAGAAAATGATATCATCCAGGCCTTGGCCAGCCCTGAACTGAGCTCAGTCAGGTTTTCATCAAGACTGTGGGGCCACTGGCTCTCTAGCTTGTTTGTGGGTGCAGTTTATTGAATTTTGTCTTTTTATATGAACTATGTGTAGTGTGTGGTATTTCTTGTCTTTTTTATATACATATTGTATTTATTATATTGTATTTTTGTACATAGACATCTGTCTGTTTTTATGTGGTACGCGATGGAGCTTTCTCTGTGTCCTTAATAAAGTCATTATTATTATTATTATTATTATTATTATTATTATTATTATCATCAATATTATTATTACTGATTCCAATAGAACTGACACCAAAGTTTGGCTCCTCCAATGCTGTTACTGTTGTCACGACTGTTTCTTATATTTTCCTTGATGTTTCCTAATATCTAATGTAACACTCATTCTGAGCTTCTGGCTTGTAGAGTTGGCCTGAATTAAAATCTCCATTTCAAGGCCTTGTTATTTCAGTGTTTGCTGTGCTTACATGCTTTATCAAGCTACTGCAAAAGGAATAGCCCACACACATACAGTACATAACACAGACAGTGGGGGAAATTGGGGGCCTCATAGCTTGTCTGACAGTCTGATACCTGAGATGCGCTGACAAAGTAAAAAAAAATGAACCTAATGTCTCCCTTCCTGTGCCATTACACAATCAGTGTAAGCTACACTGTACATTTTGAATTTGAATTTGCTTCCACTGATCATCGATGACAAAAACAACTGTATCGGCCACGTTCATGATTACAAATGTTTGACTTCAAACACTGCTCTCTGCAGGTGGCTGAAAGACAGACCAGGTAAAGGTGGATGTCAGTCTCCTGTACTTGGGGCCATAATTGACAACCTGGAGATCTCCATGATTCCGGCCCTGGTGCTGCTACCCGTCCTGCTGCGGGTTGCAGCCCTGCACTACCTGCTGGGTATCATCATCCTGACAGCTCTGCCCGGCCTGGTGCTGTGGTACTACTACGCCACGCATAAAAAGAAGAGACGGACCCTCTTCTTCCTCACTCTTGCTCTCTTCTCCCTGTTCTACATGTATTACCTCTTCATCACAGAGATTTTACCTCGTGGGGACATCAGCCAGCTGCAGCTGTGTACTGTGACCGCTGGAATGATCGTCACTATCGTCTCTCTTATTCACACCAAGAGAGGCCCGGGATTTGTGACCTCTTCCCTACATGAGGCAGACAGTCACAGTCAGGAGGCTAACAAAGACTCTACACACCTTAATGGATCTATCCAATCAGCAGCCTCCTCAGGGACTGCAGCAGAGTTGCAGACAACAAAAGAGGCCCTGGCAGCAAAATGGAGCAGGTGTCCTCTGTGCAAAATAATGCGACCCCCGCGGGCCGGACACTGTCGAACCTGTGGATCCTGTGTACAGCGCCTGGACCACCACTGTGTCTGGTGGGTTGAATATAACATATTATATTTTTCCATTTCTTGCATGGCTTGTGAGTCACCTCTAAGTTAGTTATACATTTCTTTATTGTGCATTCACTAAAGGTTATGAAAATAAATATAGAAGACAGATTAGATAACTGCCCTGTAATTACACCAATAATCACATGTTCAGCAAAAACTCCACCTACCTCCTTGTTCCTTCACAGTACAGAAACCAGGAAGGTTCAAACTAACCAATAGACCATGAGGTTACACAATTATCAGCCAATTTAGGTGCACTTTGTAAAGTTCAATCATTCATTTCCCGTAACCGCTTATCCTGTTAGGGGTCACAGAGGTGCTGGAGCCTATCCCAGCTGACACTGGGCGATAGGCGAGGCACACACTGGACAGGTTACCAGACTATCACAGGGCTGACACATAGAGACAGACAACCATTCACACTCACATTTTCACCTACAGCCAATTTAGAGTCACCAATTATGTATGTTTTTGGATTGTGGGAAGAAGCTGGAGTACCCAGGGAAAACCCACGCTGACATGCAAACTCCACACAGAAAGGCTCCCCCACCTGTAGGGTTTGAACCCCCCTCCCTGGGGTCAAACCAGGAACCCTCTTGCTGTGAGGCGACAATGTTAACCACTGCACCACCTGCTTGTAAAATGCACACTGCTAATACCAAGTGTAAACCTGTCGATAGCACCCAACAACCTGAATACCTCTGGGCTTGACATTTACAAATAGGCAGACACACTGTTTTGGGCAAAACTGAGCTCAACAGAGCTCTATAGGATATATCATATCATATCATATATATCATATAGAGCTCCTTTAAACTAGACCTGCTTCAGGTTTACCGGAGTCCAAACAATCCAAAGACACTATTGCCGGCTAACCACAAGGACGAGGCCATCACTGAACATGGCTTTAACAGCTGTTGTAATATGACCAGGAATTATACACAAGTTAATCAACTGTAAACTTTTAAATGTGCGTTATTTTAAACACAACAGTAGGTATGCGGAGCCACAGTCTCAGGCACTGCTGCTTTAATCTCTAAACTGGTACATTGTGTTGTGTGTCTGTGTTTTGTCTGTATGTGTTGAGGTACCGTAGGATAAACAGCTGTGTCGGACAGGCAAACCATCGCAGTTTCCTGTTCACCGTCACAGTGTTCGTGTTGACCTCTGTGTATGGGATCAGTTTGGTGCTATGCAGCCTCTGTCCTCGACAGTATCTGATGACGGCTCTCCTCTACTGCCCTGGCGCTTACAGTCAGTCCAGGTACAATACTCTTTAATGTGCTGTCTCTATCATGTCTGCAGGTGACAAAACAAAAAACAATCTGAACTTTGTTGGTTGATTGTAGATAATGCTAACTAATAATTAGCGGTTTCGTCAACAGTATTGGCAAGGACATAAATTATGTAGAAAGATGCCCCTGTTCACCACTCATGTCTTTTTCAGTACTTGTGTGAAACAATTTAAAGATACCTTTGACTGACAACTGTTTATAGAAGTTGCTCATATTTTGTGGTAGTATTTCACAAGAAAAGGTAAAGGTGAAGTGTGTAAGATTTAGGGGGATTTAGTGGCATTAAGTGGTGAAAATTGCAAATTACAACCAGCTGAACCTTTTCCAGGTTAGAATTCCTTTAGTGATTATTGTTCAGGAGGTTTTTACCAGGAGCTGAATCATCCACAGAGCAGGTCTCCTCCTCTCGATAACAAACTAACCAAGTGATTAAAACTAGTAAAAATGCTGAAGCCGTTTTAAGTTACAAATCAGCGTTTCTCCTGTGCTGTTTGGCATGACGCGGAGGGGCCGTTCGCCCAGCATCTGCTAATGTGTGGTCACCTTTTTTTCTCTGATATCTTAATGTGTGCTCATCTTTTTCTAATCCCGTTCAGGAAGTTTCTACCATGAGCCGAATTATCCACAGAGGTCTTTCACTCCCAAACTCAGCGATTTAAACCAGTAAAAACACATAAGAAAAAAATCTGTTTTTTTCTGATGCTCTCTTTGCAGAGAGGGTGTGAACTAGTGGCTGATGCGAAAATGCGAATGGCAATATTTGATTGATATGATTGATATATATGAGCCAGTGTTTGATTTGTCCGTTCTGGGCTACTGTAGAAACATGACAGTGCAACACGGCAATCTACGTAGACGAGGACCCGCTCCCTGTGTAGACATGAAAAGCTTATTCTAAGGTAACAAAAACACAATGACTCTTTTTCTCAGGTTTATTATACACTACAAAAACATACATGTTATATCATATTCCATTTCTGCCAATATACCCCCCTTAATCCTACACACTGGACCTTTAAGACATGATTTTTGTAGCATTTGTCATAATTAAAGTGTGGTAATCCTTTTATTTATATATGTAATATTGTTTATTTTGTCTTAGAAAACTAGCGGATACACTATTGGCAAGGTGTGCATGTGTACATACACATTTTAAGCACTGCAATTTTCCTTTTTTTGCTTTGGATTGTGTCACATTTACTGTAAATGAAGATTGTCCGGGTCCTGGTGCCAGGGTGGAACATGGCCAGTTTTAAACATTCATAATGTTGCACTGTTAAATACATTTCAGATGTTTTATTATACTCCTGTAATACTACGTCTGCTCTCTCTTTATCGTTACAGCATGGCACTTTGCTTCACTTGTGCCTGGTACAGCAGCATTGTCACAGGTGGACTGCTTTACCTGCTAGTGGCACAGGTTCTAAACATCAGCTTCAATGTGACGGAGCGGGAGGCTCAGCTGGCTCTAAGGAACAAAACGGGCCAGAGACGCCTGTGGGGGCTCGTCATCGACACAGGAGAGTATTCACGTGGCTTCTATCAGAACTGGGTTGAGTTCCTCACCATGGCAGATGCCTCCGTTTCTTCTCGCTCCAGCTTCACTGACTTGGTCTAGTTTCACTTTGTCCACTCTGGTAACGTCATGGTAACAGACTGTTAATACAGCCCTGTGTGAAGAATTACATCTCATGTATGTCTTAGGATATAGCAGCTGATGTCTTCCGATGCTTACTGCATTCCAGCCTTTTAATACAATGCATTGAAACCCATTTTAAGTGTAAAATAAGTTGCAGAGGAATATCAAAGTGCTAATGCTGACTGCTTAAAATGGTAGACAAAAATATTTGTTTAAGGGTTAGAAGTTGTTGCACGATTTATTCAAGGAAATAAACAGGGATGAGGCTGCAGGCACTGCCATGTTACTGTACATATTTTCTCTACCTGCAGAATGTGAACATCAGTTACACTGTCTGATTGAAAATGTTGTTGACTGCATGTCAATTAAAAATAAAAATTGAAATAAATGACAGGTGACTCTGTGGTATCAATTAAAGAAGAACAGTCATGCTTTCAGCTCTGAGAGAAGGCAAGTAGATGCTTTTGGGTGCCTCTCTATGGAGATCTTAAGAGTCAAACTAGGTGAAATCCCAGAAACACACTGGGGACTGGAACATCCCATCATACCACTTCTCATACAACCTAATTTCAGACTGTTTAACCAGCTTTATCAGATATAACAAAAAACAGGCATGGAAGACTGGTACAGACACAGAATAGAGCACCGCATCTGACCTCAGTGAGTCAGTGGTGGGTGTACAGTCATAAACTTCCTGGAGCTGCTTCAGTCATCTTTACTGTTATGACTGATGCTATCTATATTTATTCAATATTCTTCTCTGCAGTGCTCTGTTATTGATTTTTTTTAATGTAATGGTTTTTGTCCATTGCTGTCTCATAGTGCCAGTGGTGCTTCTTTTACACTGTCCAGACCTACACACTTTAAAGGGACAGTTCGCCCCCAAATTAAACATACATATTTCCCTTCTTACCTGTAGTGCTACTATTTGTCAGAGTTGTCTTGGTGTGAGTTGCCAAGTGTTGGAGATCTCAACCTTAGAGATTGCTGCCTTCTCTCCAGTATAATGGAACTAAATGACACTTGACTTGAGGTGCTCAAAGCTCAACAGCAACGTCTCTCTCCAGAAATCATGACCCGCTTATTCAAGATAGTCAACAGACCTTGTTATGAACAGTTTCTACCAAACTACACCTACCAACTGTATTGTTACCTCTCTCAGTGACAGCTTACCGGCTCCAAACTGTAGTTGGGAACAAGCTGGCTTATTAACATTAATTTTAGCTTGGCTTCTTATTAACTGGTTACTAATGTCTTGTGGTCTGGACCATTCTGCAGAGGGAAGGATGGCGAGGCATTCAAGTACCATTCACCAACAATGGCTTTACTGCAGTCTGCACAACAGAACAAACATGGCCTTCTCATGAGGTGTAGCAGTAGCCCTGAGCTTACTGAGACACACAGTTCTGCTGACTACCATCACTCTTTGCCGCTTGCCGTCTTCACAATGACACCCCAAAAGAGCTTCTTCCCGCCATATACATGTAACCCACTGCCATACACCCCACTCCCTCTGCAACTCCCAGAGGACTCCGCCCTGTGATTTTGCTTTTACATGTTGCGGTGGAGTATTGTACTTACAGGGAGAAAGGAGGCACCAGAAACAGGGTTCGGGATAGTTGACCTTGACTGCAGTTTTATTTCACAGGAACATTCAGTGAAATCTCTGCTGCTGGCATCCCATCCTCAACCTTACAGGCCAAAAGACAATTAACTTTTACTTCAACAATCCACAGGCTGAAGTATACATCACATCCTCAGAGGTCACCGAGTGAGCCGAAAACAGTATCACTGCACAGAGGGAAGTGTGCATCTACTCATGGACTAAAGGCTTGTGGGGCTTTTAGTTTCAATGTGTTTTAGGGTTTAATGTTGTTTATAAAAATATATCTGAATTCAGCATATTATTAGCAAAGAAAATCAGCCTTTTCATAAAAAAAATGAATGAACTGAATGAATTTCTGTGCAATCATGTCAGCTGGCTAACGCTAAATCACTGTGTGGCACCTGTCCATAACAGCAAAGCAAACCAGTTAGCTAACAGTTAGGTACTATTGAATCATATTGACCAATTAGCTGTATTATTATTTAAAGTATACGGACATTACATAACTTTTAGAGCAGGACACTGGGGGCTGAACTGTCCCCTAAAGACATGTAAAGACTGATTCTGTGAACAGTCAGTTACAGATATTAATTATTTATATCAAGCTGAAGGCCACGACCTTGTCCATCATCATAATGTATAACATTTAATGCGTATAAGTAAATCTATTCACTCATATATAGCATAATAAACAGCAAACAGAACAGTGTGTGTACTCTCCCGTAATGTCTAGACCCCAGTGTTTCACTCCATACACTTCCCATTATTCCCCATTATCTCTCATAATGCTTGGGCGGAGCAATCAATGAAGCTGTTTAAATCAATACATTTCCTCCATTTAAATCTCTCAGTCTATCAAGTCTATCAACCCCTTACTTCCACAGCAGTTGCTCTGGAGTCTCAGCTTTCCTCTGGTGCCACCCCATGACCAGTCTGTGCATTGCTCCCACCCAGTGCTGATGTTAAAAACAGCAAGCTTCTCCTTTTTCCTGACTCTGTTGATTTCAGGTGTGTATTAAGCATTGCATGATGCCAAGTGTCTATCTGATGTCTAAGGGTCACTTAATGAAATTTTCAGCAGATGTAATATCAAACATTACTGCCCTATCATATACACCTATGTCGGGTTCACGAACATTTGACATGATACAGCTCGTCCTGACTGCCAGGTCAATACGTACAAGATAATTTGTTTCTGAGTAAAGTGCGGCAGTTTGATCACGACATCATACTCTCAATAAATAAATAAAATTATGAAATTTGGTTCAAGTTTTGCCCTATTTTTCAATTTCTTCTTTGAGTTCCTGTGAATGATAACTTTACACATTCATGCTGCTCAAGGCGAAGCCCAAGGACAAACCCTTTTCATATTGGTCACTCTATGAGCTTTCCTCTAGCGCCATCCTCAGGCTAATATGTCAACTTTATCCTCAAGAAATACGCAACTATACACCGTCTTGACTTTTATGAATCCATGCCCTGCAACTTTCTTTATCTCCATGCCCTGATTCCAGTCTTTCCATGAACTCTATTTGTTATTTTATTACCATCATTTCATTCCTTTTTTTCTTGCCCTCAATGAATGTACAGTACAGTATGTACTGTATACTGTGTTCATGTACAGTGTGTGAGCATGCCTGCCTGCCTCAGAGCTCCTTACACAGGATAGAATAACACTGTTATTGCTTTGGGCAATGAGCTGTTAACACTGTGATGATTTATGGGTTTATTAATGGCCAGGGGAGTTATTCATAGAAAGTGGTGCAATTAATACGTACCTTTTTTAGGGTGTTGAGTCAAAGTTACACATTTCAAGATTAATGCTGCATTCAAATTGGTTAATTCAGGCTGTAATTACAAACAACCAAGTGAGAGAAGCTGCTGGTGAAAAGATTTACATGAGTATCGACAAACTTGTGGAAAAATGGGCTGAAAAGAAAAGTCGCTATCACTGGCAGGAACACTGAGATTAAATCCAATATTTCACACCATGTTACATTACATTGTTTTACAGTATCTACTTTTACGTGTGAACAAACTGTTAAAAACATGTAACACAAATGCTTATGTAGGCCTGCTGTGACTACAGCAGTGGAGGTATAATCTTGGAATAACGTGTGAGCGCATGAACTCATTTCACCCCACATTTGCATGATGCATAGATAATAAATCAATCTATCGTCTGAAGGTGAATTAGTTTTAGGAATTTAATACATTTCTGCACAGGTTGTGACAATTCTACTACGATTAAATGTGCATTATGTGTATTTCTGCAGCTGCAGTACTTTGCATGAGCCTTTATTTAATGTGAAAGTATAAAATACCTCTCTGGCACAACATTATTTTAAATATTTGTTTTTCAGGGCAAAAGGCACGCCTGTTCAAACTGGCAAGGTATGTAGGTCGGAGGTATCTGTGTACCCTGGCATGTACCTGCCTGCACCTTACCTCATCTTATTACCCCAGATCATCCCCTCATCATCACTCCTAGATTCATATCTTGATCTGTGCAGCGGAGAAAAGTCGAGAGCTCAGACACAATGGCGATAATAGAATCTCAGCTCAGGGTCCATTTAGTAGCTGTTCTGATGCTTTTGATCAAATCACATGATTTATTTTATGAATAAAATGACAATCTATTTTTACATCCATTCTCCCAGCTGATAGACTGACTGACTATACTCTATCTGCTGATGAAGAAAATGTGATATGATCAAAAGCTCCAGCAGAGCCTTTAAAGGTTAGATTTGGAGATTGTTGATGTTTGAAATTCAATGTGAAAGCAGCTCTTTTATTTATGGCGTGGGAGCCACTAGCTGCACACAGAATAAATTATCTTTTTCATTCCTGTTAGTCCCTGATGTGGTTTTAAGACAGATGAGGACACAGTATTTACAGACTTTAAACCCATAAAAGAGACACTAAAGTTTCCCAGGAAAGCATTTCAATGCAGCACAGTCCAATCTGTTGTCTCTGTGTTGTACAACTGCTGACGGATGAATTTGATTCTGTGGTCTCTGCCACAGAAAGCACTGGAAAGCAGCTACTGCTTTGTTTACCACCTCTGTTTACTGTGTTTTTGCAGCTTATGCATACAAATAGGAGGCTGCAAAATGAGCCTGTTTATTTAAATACCTAACAACACAGTGTGACAGACATGATATAATCACGACCCACTTCTTATTCAGGTTATGTAGTTTCTCCTGCCTGCTGTCATGTGTTCACCTCTCACACGGTTGATTGAAATCTGCCCTGGCAGGGCTAAAAGCTGACTTTGTGGCTATGAAAATGTACAGTGTTTTTCCGAAGCTTCACGTGTTTGAACCCATCCCAGCTCCGGGGTTTGTGTGGGTGTGGGTGTATGTGTGTGTGTGCTGGCTGGGAGGGAAGAGGTAATCTCAGTCTCCACTATATAAAGGGTTGTGATCAGAACTTCAGCCACATATCTTCATCCACACTCTCCATCATCATCCTGACTGAACCTGTTCCTCAGTAGCTATGACTTTGCTGGTGGTGGTGCTGGGAGCTGTGCTCTGTTCCTTCACGGTTTCTGCTGAAATCGTACCCCAGGCAGACTTCAATTTACAGGGGGTAAGACACATCACTGGGTGAACTATCAGGATTTTTTTTAATCTTAGTAAGAATTGATTTATTGTTACTGAATATTGCTTTATAGTACCTGTTTGCATTTTGTTTTATTCCTCCTCACGTCTGGCAGAAAAAGGATCACATGTCAACTTTTAAATAGTTATAAGGAAGTTATTTGATGGCATGAATAAAACTAGTTTAAATTAGTAATACAAGTAGTATTTGACTTTGACTGATGTTGTAAACGGGTATATACTTCCTGGGTATTTTATAAAATGCATTTAAGCAGCTGTTTACTTGATTTTCTTTGTGTATTTGCCACATTTTGCAATAAGTAAAGTAACATTTACATCAAATTCTTGTTTGATAACTGACAATCGTGTAAAAAATCTGAAGTTGTTTGTTAAATTCCCTTACTTTAGACAACTTGAACAGAAATGAAAATGATTTGATCCCTGAACAGATGCAAATATCTGCTAACAATTTCTCAAATATTTAGAGCTCAACCCAAAAATGAAAGGCGCAAATTTGTTAACTGTGCAAGGAGTTCATTTCACAAAATTCACCTCCCCAGGAAGGTTGGGACAGTGGGTAGGGTCGGCAGGGACACTTTGTTCTGGGCTTAAAAGATCAAATCTAAACTGAGAAAAATTGCATTGTGTCACAATGCTACTTGTTCACACATTTATTTATTAAAAAGAAACATTTAAAAACTTAATATATTTTCAGAAATTACTGAGATATGGAATTTCAAGTCTTCATTTCAGTGGCACCTATTAGCTAAAGGCTACATGTAGCTTTATGTAGGCTATTAAGTTTGTTTCATTTTGCCAAAAAAGAAGAAAAAAAGTCAGTAAAAACAACTTGAGAGTTAAATAGAAGTTAAATAACTGAACTCTGCATGCTCAAAATATGCCCAGGGGTTGAAATGAAATATGAAATATGAAAAATCATGCCGTAAACATTCACTTAGTGACTTCTCAGTGGGTGTTGTTAAATTAGGAAAAGCCTCTGTCTTGTTTTTGGCGATTTGTAACAATGTAGGAACCATAAACTACTGTCCAAACCACCCCAGGAAGAGCAGACACACTTTGGACTCCTGTTGCTACCAACAAATATTCAGACAGCTAACACTTGCACCAAATGATTGGCAGTTTTCAAACTACATGTTTTTTTGCATGTGGCTATGAACAGTATGGCAGAAGAAAAATAACAACAGAGCCAAAAATTTGCTTACACACAGTAGGTTTTAAAACTGTGAATAAAATGTGAGGAACAGTCAGAAGGTCTCCACATTGTGGTTAAAAGTGAAAAGGGTGTGCCTGAGTATGAGCATAGTAAATGGCATAGGCATAGCTGCTTTTTAACTTGCTATAAAGGCACTGTCCTGACTGCCCCCCTGTCCCTACTGACCCCAGTCTCCCCTATATGGCGTTTATGTTTTCCTTGTGTGTCCACAGATGGCAGGGAAGTGGTACCTGGTTGGGTTTGCCACTAATGCCCAGTGGTTTGTCAGCCGCAGAGCCAGCATGAAGGTGGGCACGGCCATGATGACCCCAACTGCTGATGGGGACCTGGACATGTCCTACGCCAGTCTCAAGTGAGTGTGAGAGGACGGAGAGAAAGACAGAAAGGAGGTTTATAAAAAAAGATCACTGGTGACATGTGTTTATCTTGTTTTCTTTGCAGCTCCGACGGCACTTGTTGGAGACTTAACAACCTGGCCAAGAGGACTGACACGCCTGGGAGGTTCACTTACACAAGTGAGCGTGAGTGCACCCACACACACATTTAAATACTGAACACATAGAGGCGACATAAACAATTAAACCATCCTCAGCATTTCTGCTTTCACATGATCCCTTCTGTCCTCCTCCCTCGGACAGGCTGGGGGAATGTGAATGACATGAGCATGGTGGATGTGAAGTATGATGAGTACGCGCTGACTCACACCATTAAGACCAAGGACAGTGCTCCCACCGTTGTCAACAAACTATATGGTAAAGTCACTATTAGCTGTGATGCTACACCCTGTGCTATGAATCTAATCTTCAATACTGTCATGCATGCTGCAGCAGATTAATATCATGTGGTCCGACAGGCCGTGGAGTCAGCCTCGGCCCTGATGTGCTGGAGAAGTTCAGGCAGTTCTCCCTGGAAACTGGTGTCCTGCCTGAAAACATTGCTTTCCTTCCTGCAAATGGTGCGTTGCATATCAGTGTAGAGACTATGTAAAATTAAGCATGATGTTAAGCATTATTCACCTTACTGTATTCTTTTCTCTTTCTTCAGCGGAGTGCCCAGCTGCCTAGTTCTCTGCCTGAGTCATTCTATGTCAACAAAGCTGTCTGAAGACTTTAATGAATATTCTACATCTCTCAAGGTCACCACCATGAACTCAGTTCAGTTTATTTGCTCTGTTCTTTCAGATGTTGTAATAAAAATAGCTCATCATGCCACTGAACATGATTTAAAGTCTGGTTTCAACGCACAATACTTTGCTTCTATCTACCCTGAGTTGTAACTGAGCTTACACAGTCTTTGAAGATCTCTTCAAACATGTTTTGAGACATATAAAATGCTCTGCTTTGAAAAATAATGTGTGATGTGGTTTTTCTACCAAAAAAAGTTCAAGTGTTGCTTCTACTGAAAAATCCATAATCTATAAATATGCAATTATTGTTCATTCAAAAGGTTTAACACAAGATGTCTTCTACCTTACTGAAGTTACAGAGCCCTAAAAGCCTGAAATGAGTCAGCATTTTAGCACTTCCAATTCCCTCATCTTGAAGTCAGCAGGTTTTTTTGGATGAGATTTTGGTTAGAAGCCTGAAATTAAGTTCATGGTTTGTTCTATGACATAAAATACATCATGTCCTAAAAAAGGCAGTTGCTAACAAGTGGCTAAATGAGACTAAAGAGGTTGTCGAGAACGTTAAACGTGATCATGACTAACACCGTCTTCACAACCTCATTGTGGTGGTCACGTTGAAATCATGGGACCCGTGGCTTAGTTTGTTTACATATGGCGGTTGCATTTATGCTTCAAAAATCATGTAAGGAGGTGTTTATTTGTGAAGATTGTCTTTCAGAAATAATTATGGTATCATATACATTTGTTGCCAGAGCTTTTTTAGAGGGAACCAGGGTGACACTTAGTTCCATGTTGGCCTTCAAATAATTAAATAAAAAGTCATCCCTGCAGCACTCTATTGGATCATGACTGACTCCAAAATAGTTGGGACACCACAAAATTATGCCTCTATGTACTAATCTGAAGAGGTTCCCTGAGTTTGATACCTCTAGTAGAGCTATGGAGTTATTCAATAAGCAGATCCCTCTGCGTGTTCCAATACCCATACTGCCATACTACATAGTATGCCAGGAAAAGATTTAGTATGTCCCAATACACAGTATGTTAAATACAGTATGACAAAAATACCAGTAGTTCTTCTACATCCGGTCCAATTTTGCAGAATGCAAGCCAACATGCTTTCTGGCCGTTTTGACCCACAGTCCTCTGCGCACATCAACACATCAACTATCAGAAGTTGCAATGATGGATGACAGCGCATTCAGGTGACTGATGACCAGTCGATTAGTAATAATAGGAATATCAATTGTTAAACTGAATTAATAATCATAGATATAACCAACAAGACAAGGGCGTAAGTATTAAATAACAATGGCAGAGAAATGTCCTGTTGACCTAAGTCTCCATCAAGCTCCATGGTAAGGGATATATGAGAGGGTCAAAGTTCAGGGTGCAATGTTATGCGGGAAGTATTAAGTCCCGATTGTGTACATACTGGATGCAACAGTACATACCTTTTAAGGGCAGCCGCAGTACCTACTAAAAGTAAAAAGAAAAAGTATGCATTTCCAAACGACTAAAATACTTTGCTTTTATTACCTTTTTTAACAAATACGTTGAAGTACATCCATAACAACACAGTTCAGATTTCCTTTTTATCAAGTGTTTACATCTACACGCTTTGTACAGATTTGTATACAAAACAATAATTTACGTCCCATAGAAGTCTAGTTACACGTAACTATACAACAACTTGTAAATGAAATAAATATAAAAACAGAAATAATCACAGGTGATAACAAAAATGTAAAAAGCCATAGTACAAGTACACCACCAGCACCTGTCTTCTGAAGTTGCATCTAAAAAGATATACATTTTCCCTTTCTACTGGCAAAAGTACATCTGTGAGGGCGAAAAACAAAGAGTTCAGTCCATAGTTTCATAACAGCAGCACCAGTTACACTGTATGATTCCTAGTCAGGCCAGACGGTTATACTGGGACACTGATGTGAAGTATTTTTTTTTTTTAACCCAGCCTAATATCAGTATCATACTGACACTTAGGTAGGTTATGCTTTTTCTGTGATTTTAACAGATGTCAATTCATGTGAAAAACTAGTTTGTTCATAGAAAAAGAAACCATCGGCTCAAACAACTCGTCCTCAATTTCCTCATCACGAAAATCAGCTTTTCTGAATCCATGGGGCTTCACTCTCCAGGTAGCTTTAATGGATTTAAAACTCCGCCAGTGAGTTCATCTCTCCTGCTTTGGGCACTTCTAACATCATACAGTACACTTACTGACTTGAAACTGAAATATCATATCAGGTATATGATAATCAAGAGATGGGGTAAATGATCGCATCGTGATATAGGTGCAGATGTGAACTTGTATTTACTACCATGATACATCCACTATTTCACTGTGTATTTTGGGTTAGTTTAATGATCGTAGACCTGTGTGTACAAAGCTAAGAATGATTGTTTCTTTTCTCTGAGTGCTGTACACAGCCAGCCTTGTGTTTTTAACAACACAACGAAAAGCACTATGTTACAGAGTGGTGGGGTCGGAGCACCAGGAAGCACAACAGATGCTTTGTTTGTCATTCGCTCTCCCTCATTCTTACACACACACTCTTACTCTTTCTCTCACACTCGCACACACACATACGTATATGCAATACATACCACATATGACTTGATTACTGCATTCATCACGATCTGTACCAAGATGGCAAGTGCTACTGGGAACAGGTTGCTAATCCATACTGCTGTGTTTAGTACATTTCAACAAAATGACGCAAACGTTTTGCAAATTACACTTCAGTTTTGAGACAAAATAATTAGGACCATTGTGATTGACAACTGATTGTTGCCTGCAAAATTAAAAATGTATATCTACAAAGAGACATCTGCACAATCTGCCATGCACACTGTCACCAGCAAAGGGACATGCAGTTAAAAGTGCAAGTCTACGGAGGGGTTCTGTTGCTAACTCGGACAGAGCGTTAATGTTATGTACATTGTGTATACATTTCTGAACAAACATTAGGCTGAGGATTCAAAAAAGAGCAAAACAACTGAACGGACTAAGTGCAGCACGACCACACACACCACATTATTTCAATGTGAGCGGTGTCATGCCGAGGGTGCAGAGATTGGGGTGTGATGGTTGCTTCGACACTGTTCTTTGATGTGGCACAGTATTTGGCTCGGTCAAAGTCACTCTGCCTGCACCACGTCCTTGTGGTGACGCATGATATGCTGGTTCTTCTCCGAGGGTCGTCGGAAGCCTTTCGAACAGATCTCGCAACGGTGCGGATAGTCTTTCGTGTGAATGGAAATCACATGTCGCTTGAAACCCGAGGCGTCCCCGGTGCTGTAGTCACAATACTGGCACTGGTAAATTCTCCTTTCTTTTTGTCCTTTGCCAATAACTACAGTCACACTGCTGGCTAAGCTGGCTGCACTGACTCTGCCAGGCGGGCCTGAGGTGCTGGACCCACTAGGTGCAGACTTTTTAGGTGTCACAACAGGGGTGTGTGTCTCTGTCCTCTTAGACTCACTCTTTTCAGGCGAGGCCTGTTGCTCCTTCGTGTGGACAGACAAGATATGGCGACTGAGAACAAAAGGGTCTGCAATTTTGAAGTTGCAGTGCCGGCACTGGTGGAGTTTCTTGGTGCGGTGGGATACTGAGTGCTTCTTCAGTTCAGACGGCCGGTGGAAGCCTTTACCACAGATGGCACATTTGTGTGGATAGTCCTTGGTGTGAACAGATATGATATGGCGTTTCAGGTCACTGGAGTTGGAACTTTTGTGATCACAGTGGGCACAATGGTGGGTCTTATTCTCCTCATGTGTTAGTCCGTGCTGCATTAACTCCTCCTCCTCTGCAAAGGTCTGGAAACAGCGCTCACATTTGTACGGCATCTCTTTGCTATGCTTAGTCTTGATGTGTGTCTTGAGATTAGAGGAATCAGCCGACTTGTAGTCGCAGTACAGGCAGGAGTAAGGCTTCTCGCCCGTGTGCGTGCGCATGTGTTTCTTCAATTCTGAAGGGTGTCGAAAGCCTTTTCCACATTCCACACAGATGTGGGGGAAGCTTTTACTGTGAACTGCCAACAAGTGCCGATTGAGCAGTCCTTGCTCAGCAGTTTCATAGTCACAGAACTTGCATTTATGCATCTTGGTGGGTGTCGGAGGCGGCTGGCTCTTGGGCTCTCTATGGTGGTGCTGCAGTCTGTGAGAGAACAGCGCTGCCTGCTGGTGGAACTCCTTGCCACACATTTCACACTCAAAAGGGGCCTTGCTGCTCAGAGCGTGGACCTCCATGTGGTTGTGGAGGCTGGCTTTCTTGTTGGTGGTGAAGTCACAGTCTGTACATTGGTACTTTTTCCTCGTCAGAACATCCTGGTGGTGATTCTTAGTGTGGCGTTTCAGGAAGCCTCGTGACTTGAACTTTTTACCACATAGCATGCAGGGGTAAACTGTCAGAGGCTGACCATACGGACCGATGATGATGGCTGGAGAGAAAGATGGCAAGAGGGAGACGGAAATGACAACATGACCATAACCTTGTAAATCAAGCAAACCATTTTGGTGTTTAAGTCCTTTTAAAATAACAAAATAAACACTTGTTCTTAAAAAGGTAATAGGAATCATATATTATTCACCAATACAAAAAGCCCCTGATCAATTACATGTATCAACAAATAGAATAAGCAGCCACACATTATCAGTGTTTACATAATCAGCCTTTGTGGTTATTTAAAGAGTGTACTGTGACATACAGGCAACACAGGTGGGACTGCAGATACTGAAGCCCCCCCTTTAGACACATTTTATGTATGTAAACATATTCTGCTGTGATTAATATTTTGTTTGACATGATTTTCCCACACAACCCACATGAGAAGTAAAAAAAACTCTGAAAAGGGATCAAAAGCAAATCTATTCTTTCTCCCTCATTAAGAAATTTCGGATCTGGCATTGCATCCCGCCCCCATAGCTGCTTGTGGCAGATTTCACTTTCTGCTTTCTTCAGTGCTGGCACACCTCTAAAAAGAAGTGTGGAGAGGTCTGGCTATGTGAAACTAGCACTAGGTTGACCGGTGAAAGAGCAGTGCGCGTCAAGATGGCTGACATTAGCATTAGG